CTGCGGGTGAACAGCAAAGAAAGAATTTCATTGCACAAAGAAAAACCTTTTCTCTTGTGACACATGACAATAAACACTTTGAATGTCAGGGGTAGAAGGATATCAGGGAGGTGATTTGCTGTGTGGGCCCCTAAAGAGAGCAGCCGTTTATTTTAAATACATTTAATTTGATCACTTTTCTTTATTTGAGCACTCAAAGCACTTTACACAGCTCGCCTCACTCACATCAGCACTTCTTGCTTCGTATTTTCTGTCTAAATGCTGAATTTAATTGAATGTGCACACACACATTCAGCAGAGAGCAGCTTGGAGTTAGTATCTTGCTCAAGGATATTTCTCCATCTTCAGTTAGTGCAGGTGACAGTTTTCTGGGCCCTTCCCCAGATCTGTGCTTCGATCCTGTCCTGGAGGCTGCAGACAGCTCTTCAGCTCACGGCTTGCTTCGTGCTGCTTCGTGCTCTCACACAGACGTCTACTGTGATGTCTGAGGCGTCTGAGAACTTTCAGTGACCTGAACCGAATGTGTACAAATGTAAACTTTGCACACACAAGAGTCAAAAACAAGACCAGCAGAATTTATAATTGACAGTGAAGCTTTGCTAAGTTTCTGTGGGTGCAGCCCAGAAACTCAGCTCTGCTCCTTGAACTACTCGTGAATTTTCCCTGAAATGTGGGATGGTTGAAGGGACAGAAACGTAAGATTCAGCATAAACAAAGAAACCAACCAAACACAAACGTCCACTGACCACATTAAAACAGGATCTATCAACTATTTCATTTCTAAACTAAATAGTTGAATAATGTCATGCTGTAAATGCACTGAGCCTGCTACACTGTGATGGTGCTAAATATTAACCTGCTTCCTTCCTCCAGTTTCAGTGAGTCTTGTAAAGCTGTTACTTCCTCTCGTCTCTTACACGCTTCACTTGCTTTACTGTGATTCTTGTTTCTCTTCAGCCACACTTGCTGTTTTCTTTCTAGCTCAGTCTCTCCATGTAACCCTCCCCTGACACAGTAGAGATGGGATGCTTCTCTATCACTGCCACACAGATGAGGCCTGCTGCTGTGTCTCAGGCTCTGATGACGCTAATGAAACCAAAACACAGCTCTCACACTGCAAGCAAACCGCTCTCGTTTGCTCTTAAAGGCACAGCACGGGCTGTTTCTGTTTCATCGCTGCTGTTTTTCATTCTCATCATTTCCTCACATCTGGGTTTTCTGTGTGACACATCTCCACCTTTAAGCTGTCTAATCCTCTGTTCGTTTTCTGTGTTCTTTCTTTCTTCAGTCATTATTTTACATGAATTTATTTAGAGTGAAATATGTGTGATTCGCTCTGTTACACATGTAGAGTTGCGAGGTCATTGGTTTCACATTTTAGCGTCCCTGCCTACCAGGACTCCGCTTTAAATCTGTGTCCACGTCGACTATGTTCTATTAACACCTAATTATCACTCAGGCTATGAATGACAGCCGAGGACCCAACGTTTGGCCTCCTAATAAAATATTGAATATTTGCACAAAATTACAGAATAATTTCAGAAAAAAAGAAAATGAGCAGGGTCGATATGATCGGCCCTGAAACAACAACATAATACGACCACTGCTGCGAGCTGATGCGTATTTGTAATGTTCAAAGCTTGTAAAATGAAAACCGAGACTTATCTTCAAATTTACAAACAGAATAAAAACTTCAGCAAGTTCAGAAATATAGAAGAAGCCTGGCAGCAGGAAGTGAAAGAGTTCAAAGACTCTGGAAAGAAAACTTGTGAGACGTGTCTTTAAAGACTAATGACTTCGCCAAGTCAGGAATTATATTCTCAATGAAGACGATCAGCAGAACTCCACACAGGAGCAAGGATGCAGACCAGGAAATACCCAGAAGTATGCTGAGGACAGCCTGGAGAAACATCATGAATACTGGAAGCATGTCTTTTGGTCAGATGAGATAAAGCGAGAGCTCTTATGCTGTGGGGATGCTTCAGTGTGTCTGGAAGTTGGAATCTCATCATGGAGGAAAGAATCACACAGAAAGATGAAATGTGAAGATTTTGAAAGAAAGCTGGGTCTTCCACCACGACAATGGCCCCAAACATGCGCTGTGCCTGGGAGGCAACTGCATGCAGAAGACCAAAGTGAACATCAGTGACTGGCAGGCACAAAGCTCTGACTTGAATCCTGAACAAAGCAAAGGTTGGGCTGACGAGCAGAAAAGGAAACACATCGACTGTTAGCTTATCATTTTGACCCTGGTAGTTTTTGAGAAATAACTTTGTGTCTGCATGAAAGTGAAATAATGTAAGCATCCAAAAAGTTTGACATTTGAGGAAGTGTTAAAAATTCCTGCTCTGTTGAACCATCTGCTCATACCGTGTAGCTAAATCCACATCAGAGCCACAGAGAAGTGGGGCTCAGAACACAAATCATTTGATGTATGCATGTGTGGTTTTCACGACGTTGTCCCGTACCTTGTCCAGATACGTGTAACTCCACATCTTTCCATCAGCGAAGACTCTGGAGGTGATTCGTCCCTGACTGTCGTATTCCCACCTCTCCGTGGTCGGACCCCTCTGGAGACCTGTCACCTGACCCGAACTGGACAGACACAAAGTCACATTACCAACATTTCAAACTTTGCCT